TCCAAGACCTGGGCTGTGCCTCCGGGAAGCAGGCCACATCCTGTTGGTGGCAGAGAAGCCCTGCTGGGAAGTTCTCCTTGGAGTCCGACTTTCACCCAAGGCTCTAGAGGTGTGGGATGATGCAGAAACTCGGTTTCTCCAGGCCCTCATGGTTGCCTTGTGCCACCTTTAGCCAGAGTTGCTGGGCAGCTCCTACCCCTCTTGGGGCCTTGCTCCCTCATTTGTGCAGTTGGGCAGGAACTAGGGTCCTGTGTGGGGTCTGTACCCAGTGTGTGGTGGATTGTGTCTCTGTGGAGACACACATGAGCCCTGGTGGATGAGCTGCAGGCCACGAGCCTACTCACGCCTGGATGGGGTCCCCAGGACCTGCTGCATGGCAACATTTGACCTACTTCTAAGGCTCTGGGTCTGGCCCAGGCCGCGTTCTTGACTCCTCCGGGAAGTGTGGGCCTGTGTCCCAGCCCAGAGGCCATGGGCCAGGAGGGGCGGTCTGGGGCGGGCCAGGGCGGCCTGCGGAGCCTGTGGCCTGGGGGACAAGGGCACATGGGGAGTTTGACTCTCCTTCCTTGCCTCTGGCTCCTGGACCCAAGGGACTAGGCCTTACCCATTCCTCCCTCCCCTAAACCCCTACCATTCTCTCCACGTGGCAACCATATTTGAGCTCCCCAAATTGGCTCTGAAAGGATGAGGGACATTCCTCGTGTCCCTCTGAACACTACCAGGAACTTCTGCCAAGTACTCACCCCGCTATTTGCCGAGCGTTTGCCCCTCCCCCTTCCCTTGTCTACCAGGGCAGCAGGCAGGCGCTGGTTCTGGTGCCACGTGGAAAATCAGCAGCTCTAGTCCTGGGTCCTGGGTCTAGGGTCTGGTTTGGTTTTGCCTGGAGCCTGGGTTTGGAGTCTTGAGTTCTGGACCTGGATCTGGGGTCTAGAGTCTGCATTTAAGGTCTTGGTTTGGTATCTTGGGTTTTAAAGTCTGGGTCCCCAGAGTGGGCTCTGATGTTGGACTCTGAGTTTCAGGTTCTAAGTTTGGGGTTCAGATTCTGAGACCTGAGGCTAGGGGTCTAGGTTCCATGTCTCAAGTATGGAATCTGGGATTTGGGTTCAGGATTTGAGGGCTGGTTTCTATCCCTTCTGCGCCCCCTGCTGGCTGGTCATCGCAGTCAAATCACTACCTCTACCTTGGGGTAACCCCTACCTCTTTGAGCTGCTGAGAGGCATCTCAGTCACTGACTGGGGAGTGGTGTGAAGAGCAGACCTGGTTGCGGTGGGCTTAGGGGATCTGGTGGCTGTATTTCTATCCCTGGTGCCCCTTGCAGTCACCAGGACCCCTGTCAGCAGCCCCTCCCTCACCAACCTCACCGCTCTCGGAAGGAAGTTTGGCAAGGGGTTCCAGTCTCCCTGTGAGAGCTAAATCGAGATGTTTGGGACATTCGCTCAGCCAATATTTATTGAGTGTCTACTGTGCACCAGGATCTGTTCTAGACTCTTGGGATATATTGCTGTGAAGGCACAGAAGTTCTTCCTATGCCAGCTGACAGTTATGGGAGGCTGGTGAGGGTGTGTGTGCAGGGAGGGGTATACACATGTGAGATGAGATAACAAAGAAACCAGCTCATTTTAGGCTGTGAAGGGATGGGGAGTCATGGGAAGAGACAGGGCAGAGGGAGCTGTCTAGGGCAGTCCCAGGACACTCCTCAGAGGAGGTGACATCTCACTGAGGCCAAGGGTTGACAAGCAGCAAGCAGTGGCCAGGGTCCCAGACAAGGGCACCAGGGGAAAGAAACAGTCTGTTCAACAGCATAAGGGGCTGGGAAGAACCTGGAAGGAGGCCAGTGTGAAAAGGACTCTCTGCCTCTATCCAAGGGCCCTTTAGAAGTCAGAACCCACCTCTTCCCAGCATATCCCCTCGACTGATGGAAAGGGGAGATGAGGTGGCTGTCCTAGCAAGGGCTCTGGAAGGGGACACATGTGATTCTGCATTGGGCTGGGTCACCGCTGGGGCATTAGAGTTGGGGAGGGTGTGGGGGGTTCACAAGGGTAGCATTCAGACCCCTTCCCCTGCCCTCCAGACCTCCCCAGGCCCTTCTGGGGCCCTCATGGTTGCCTTGTGCCACCTTTAGCCAGAGTTGCTGGGCAACTCCTGCCCCTCTTGGGGCCTTGCTCCCTCATTTGTGCAGTTGGGCAGGAACTAGGGTCCTGTGTGGGGTCTGTACCCAGTGTGTGGTGGTGGGATCGTGTCTCTGTGGAGACACACAGAGGTGATTATCTGCTGGGCAATTATTCCTATAGGGCATCGAACTGAGGTTGGCCTCTGGGAGAGACAGATAAGTGCCAAGCGATGGTATGTGGCCTGTATTTGCTGCCATTGTCTGCCCCTCCCTCCCATCATGGCCTGCCCACCTACCCATCCCTGCCTTGCTCCTGGCCTCATACAACCAATCCTGCTGGAAGTCACAGGGGGAAGCCCTGCTTGGGCTCAGCCCCACAGAGTACCTATGGGGACCGGAATTATTTGCAGGTTTCAGAGTGGTCTCATGGCACCCTCAGTCCCAGCAGCCCAGGACCAGCCTCCATCTGAGCCCTGGGGAGGGAGTGGAACACAGTTTTGTGCACCGTATCCCCACTCTGTATTGTATCTGCCCTGTGCGCAGGGAAAGGGACCAAGACTCCCTGTTCCAGGCCTGGAAAGGTGGTGTGGTGTGGCTCTGGCTGGCTGCATGATCCTGCCTACCCCTATCTCAGATCTAGGAACCATGTCCAGGTGGCCACGTCACTCACCTACCCCTGTTCAAATTGATATGGGTGGGTTCCCAGGCATGGCAGTTGTGTGTGGACAGAAGAAATGTGATGGGAGGCCTTGGTCCTCTGTCCTAGGCCCCAGTTTTCCTCACGATGAGTGAAAATTTACTGGATGGTACCTTGTTGGCTATGCCCTTGTGGTTGGAGCCCTGGGGGACATCCAGAGTCAGTTGTCCTGAGGGTGGGTCAGTGGGCCTAGGCCTCAGGCCACCCTAAGCCTCTCTGTGTGTCCCCTGCTGGCTGTCTTCTCCTCTTGTGGTATTTCTGGTTCTTCTCTGTGGACCCTCCCCCACCCCTTTCTTTCTCAATACTATTGCCAAACATCTGGAAGAAAAGTGAAAAACTAGCTTCCCCCCCAGCACCGGATGTTGTCAGATTTCCAGATGTGGGGTGTTCTGCCCTCCAGATGAGGGGAGGAATGTCTTGTGTCCCAGCTAGGAGGGGGTCTGACCCTGGACCGCTGTCCCTTTACCGTGTAGCTGAGTGACAGGATGAGAGGGGCCCTGGCCCAGGAAGACTGTGGGAGCACCCAGGTAGAGCCCGGGTGAGTCCTCCCCTCTCCACACCCAGGAAATCCCCTGGGATTTGGGGGGGGGGGAATGTCTCTGAAGTTTCTATCAAAGGCTCCAGGCTCTTAAAAATAACAAGAAGCACCTCCTTCCACCCTCCAGCGCAGACACTGGGCAAGGACCAGAGCCCAATGTGTTTGCAAGATGTCCGCACTCTCCGAGCTCTGTGCCTGGAAGGGCCCCGGCCGCTTGTCCTTCCCACCTCCTGAAATGGTGGCCGGCCAGGCTGCGCTCTGTCACTGCCACCTGCCAGGACTGGGTTCTCAGGGTGAGCGCGAGGGGTGGACCCTGGCGTTAAAAACTACAGGTGAGCCACCCGAACTGGGCACCAGGGGGCAAGCCTTGCCTGCTCTGCTGAGGTCCCTCAGAGAAGAGACCCTCTCAGGGTCCCCACCAAAAGGGTCAGCAGAGGAAATTACGGGCCTGTGGGGACGGCATCTGAAAGCTTCCAGCAAGAGGAGGCAGTGGGCCGAGCCCTGAATGTGCCAAGAGGAGGGGCAAGGGCGCTGGGCACTGGGGCGCTGGCTCGGCGAGCACAAGGGTCTGGTGGTGAGCAGGCTCCGAGGAGCGTGGGGAAAGTGAGTCCCGGAGCTGGGGACGCAGCAGGAAGCACACGCGCAGCGGACCTTCCTACCGTGGCTGCACAGAGCAGCCCCCGAAACACCCAGACACGCAGGCGGAGCACGGAGACACGCTGGGCCCGCCCGCCACGCACGCGCACACCCAGGCAGGAGCTCAGGAAGGAGGCCGTGGGGACTGTTGGGCTGTTGAACGGGGCTGGGTGACCGCCCTTGAGGGAGCAGCACCCCTACTGCTGCCACTTGGGGAGTTTCATGAGACCCTTGACCCATGACTGGGACTGCAGCTCCTGGCAAGCCATCGCCAGACATACACACAGACGCCTATAAACACCCAGACACAAACAGAAATGACACCCACAGACACACTCTAGACACACACAGACATGTGTGCAGTTATAATATAAACATCCAGACAGGCCCACGGAGGCGACGCGGAGATAGCACGGCCGTGCCGCAGAGACGCAGACGCACATGACTCCAGCACATGGAGAGAGTCAGACAGCACACACACATCACACAAACCCCCGCCACACGTACACCCAGACACACGGGCAGCACACACAGATACACACAGACCCCGGCCTTCCACAGACACAGACACAGCAGAATTGGATGCACGAATGGAAGTTTAACTCAAGAGTGCCCTCAGGGGATCTCTGTCCTTCTGCCCCCGAGACAACACACACTCATCCAACCTTCTGCACCTGTTCAATTCACCGCCGTGCTGAGGAGCAGCAGGGCCCTGGGGTGTAAGTGTGAGGGTGCCCATGTAGGGGTGGCCAAGTAGTGGCCTCTGTCCTGCTTTCTCCCCTTCTCTCCCCAACAGGTGACTGGGAGGAATGGAGAGCCCTCCCTCTCCCCCACCATTCCTGAGCCTGAACAATGCCCTCCCCAGACCCCAAAATAGCACCTGAGCCTAGCCAATGTCCTTTTATGGCCTTGTCCCTATTGTGCACTGTGGGGGTGGGGGTCATGAGGTGTCCAGGCAGGATAAATGCCACGAGCACCAGAGCTCGCCTACCCTGCTGTCTGCTGCCTTCTCGCCACAGCCTTCTAGTGCTTACAGTCTCCATGGCCCCCAAAAAGCCAGATCCCAAGAAGGATGAGGCCAAGGCAGCCCCCAAGGCGGCTGCAGCTCCCGCGCCTGCATCTGCTCCTGCACCTGCACCAGCGCCTGAGGACCCCAAGGAGCCCGAGTTTGATGCCTCCAAGGTCAAGGTGAGTGTGGGAACTGCATTTTAGTAAGGACAGAGCAGGTAGGTGTATCCCGAAGTGGGCCTACCCAGCCTTTAGAAAGTGCTTGAGCCAGAGCCGGAGGCTTCTGCGCAGAGTTCAGTCAATTGCAGAGGCTTCAGGCACCAGGAGGGCTGCAGCAGGAGGGCTCGTGGTCAGACATCAGGCGGGAGGGCTTCCCAGCGCTGCTGAAGGGGATGTCTTTTGGTGGTTTTGGGCAGTGACTCTCCTTTGCCCTCCTCCCTGGACGTCACATCCTCGGAGGATCCCAGAGTCGTCTGTTCCCCCCACCCTGCAGGCAGGCAGAGATCTTCCTTGTTTGCCCGTGGGGTCCCAGGTCTGTGCCAAGTCCCCCAGGATGGGTGGGGTGGGGAGCAAAGGGAAGCAAGGCCCCTGGTCAGGCTGGGTAACACTCACCCCTGCCAAGGTCCCTGAGCCCCAGGACTGGTAGGGCCTCAGATTTTGGTTGGGGAATTGAGGCACAGTCTGGGTAGGTCTGCAGGAAGTGGGTCATGGAGCTGTGATCAGCAGTCCCAGGAGCCCTTCCCAGCTGGGGGGTTTGTCTTAGAGTCTAAACTTGGAGAACGAGCCATGACTCCAACCTGCGGCCTCTGCATGGCGGCATGCACTCTGTGGCCTGCCTGTTCCCTGTTCTTGGCTGGCCCACCGCCCCTGCTGCCCTGGCTTCCTGCCGAGGGCCCTGTGGAGCCCTCCTGGTCCTGCAGGCTTCCCACGTGCCCAGAGAGACCCGCAGTCCGTCTGCCCAGGTCCACCTCCAGCTCAAGATCCTCCCTGGAGGCACCTACCTTGTCCCTCCAACCTAGGGACAATTAGGGTTCAAATCCTAATTCCGCTCCACCCCCCTTGCTGACCAGAGGCTTGCTTTTCTCATCTGTGAAGTGGGGCATTAAGCCCTCCTTGCAAGTTGCTGCCCATCCTGATGCCCTCTGCCTCCTTACTCTTTCCACGAGATGTGGCCAGGCGGATGTTGCCACCCCACCAGGTCTGCTGCCCAGTGGAGAGAAGTGTCCACAAGAGTGAGATGGGAGGCCCCGTGTGGGCGGGTGGCAGGAGGAGAAAGGCCCCAGGGCTTCTTGTGGGTGAGAGCTTATCTGCAGGAGGCAGAGTGTGTTACTTAGGTTTTCACACGTGTATGTTCACACCCATGTGTGCCTGCGTGTGTTTACATGTATCTGCCCCTCACAGAGCCCTGGAGGCTGAGCAGTCACTCACAGGGCCCTGTTTATACCTCCGTCCATGAATGCAGGCAGCCCCCCAACTATAGCATGAGGGGGCCAGGGCAGTGCTGTTGAGTGTTCGATGAGGTCTCATGAGGGCCACCTGAGGTCACGAGGCCTCCTGGGACCCAGTGTCCCCCTCCTCACCCGATACCAGCTCTATTTTTATCACCACAGTCACTGGTCCCAAGGTCAAGGTCGCATGAGGGAAAGGAGCTAGGGGGAGGGGCACCTCCCACTGCTGCTCCCTCTGAGCCCCACCAACCTCCATGGTGCACCCCAGAGCAGAGGGCCATCCCACACCTGCCACTCTGCCACGGTTGTCCCTTCTGGATTTCTAGCTTACCCCAGTGTTGGGAAGAACTAGTTGCCACTCCTGGGCCCCCAGAGTTCCCTCTCTACCAGGAAGCCCACTGAGATTAGGTTTCCTGGGCTCCTGGCAAAGCCTTCCTGCCCTTCACTGGCCAACCCAAGAGGGAGCAGGAGGGAAAATGAGCAGGAGGAGCTTCACTACTCTGACTCTCACAGGCCAGTCTGCCAACCTCAGAGCCAGTGAGACCACGCGCCTGAGGTGGGTGGGCCCTCACCAAGGAGCCTGTGGCACACAAGCCTGGGGCCTGGGGTTGGTGGGGGGCAAGGAGCCAACTCTAGAGAGCACTTATTGTGAATGGTTCCCAACAACTTGCAAGGAGGATTCAATGCCCCACTTCACAGCTGAGAAAAGCAAGCCTTTGATCAGCAAGGGGGGTGGAGCGGAATTAGGATTTGAACCCTAATTGTCCCTAGGTTGGAGGGACAAGGTAGGTGCCTCCAGGGAGGATCTTGAGCTGGAGGTGGACCTGGGCAGACGGACTGCGGGTCTCTCTGGGCACGTGGGAAGCCTGCAGGACCAGGAGGGCTCCACAGGGCCCTCGGCAGGAAGCCAGGGCAGCAGGGGCGGTGGCCAGCCAAGAACAGGGAACAGGCAGGCTGCAGGGTGTGTGCCATGGTGCGGAGGCCTCCTGGGTGGTGGAAGCTGGGATGCAGAGAGGAGATGGTTTGGGGCAGCTGAGCAGCTGAGGCTTGGACTGGCCCACCCTCTCAGCCAGGCATTCAAGATCTTTGGGGTCTCTTTTCAGATCGAGTTTACACCGGATCAGATTGAAGGTAAGCAGTTGCCTTAAACCTGGGGTTGCTGGGTTGGGCCCTGACCCCTCAGTCTGGGCGGGGGGGGTTGACTCGGAGGGTCCACCAGGTACTCCCTCTCCCGCAGAGTTCAAGGAGGCCTTCATGCTGTTTGACCGCACGCCCACGTGTGAGATGAAGATCGCGTTCGGCCAGTGTGGGGACGTCCTGCGGGCACTGGGCCAGAACCCCACGCAGGCTGAGGTGCTCCGTGTCCTAGGGAAGCCCAAGCAGGAAGGTTGGTACATTCAGATGGAGATCTCCCTGCTAGTGAGTCTGCCGCTGGGTGGGGGCCAGGGGCAGGGGACGGAGGGGGTAGGAGGAATGCTGCCCTCTCTGGAGGGGCACCATGGGAGCCTCCCCGATGTGCGCTCTCCCGACACCCTCCTGTGGCCTGGATGAGGACACGGAGGCCAGTCTCAGGCTGAGGCCGACCAGGCGGTGAGCAGTGACATGGTACCATCTGGCCCCAGGCCTCCTGGACACGGGGGACTGGCACCAGGCAAGCTAGCTTCCGTCGCTGGTGTGAGGTTGGGCTAGGGGCATCCAGCCTCTGCCTCCCTACGCCCTCCTTGCCTCCCCACACCTCTCTGTGGGTCAGGTTCAGCTTTCCCTGCCAAATTGGTCAGAGAGGGTGGCCTGCTTTGCCCTAAGGAAGGGTGAGATCCAAGCCCTGGGCATGGGTTCTAAAGTCCCAGGGAAAGTCTCTAGTTGGCCCAGCTGCCCCCACCCATCACCCGTGGCAGAGTGGAGCCTATAAGACAGACACTGGGGAGGGCGCTTCCCCAAAAGCAGGATGGAAGTGCTGGACAGAGGCCACTGCGGTGCCATAGCAGCAAACTGTGCTCGTAAAGCAGCAGAGGACTCTGTTGACGGCTCGCGGCCTGTGACGGTGGAGTGCTCTGTGAATGGCAGACAGGCGTGGCGTGCTTTGGGAACCGTGAGGGTGCTTGCACCTCATTTTAAGGCACAGACGAAGTGTGTGCCCATTGGCCTGTCCCCTCAGAGCCCGGGATTTGGGGCCATTTTTCCACAGACCTCAACACCAAGCTGATGGACTTCGACACGTTCCTGCCCATGCTGCAGCACATTACCAAGAACAAGGACATGGGCTCCTACGAGGACTTCGTGGAGGGGCTGCGGGTCTTCGACAAGGAGGGCAATGGCACTGTCATGGGTGCCGAACTCCGCCATGTGCTGGCTACGCTGGGTGAGGGCCGCCTCCTCCCCCCCCCCCTCCCGGGGCTCCCGGGAGAACCCCTGTCACCCACCACACCCGTGCCTGTGAAATGGAGAGTGACACTGTCAAGGTACCTCCATGGCAGGTGACGGAAATGTGGGGAATTTGGAATTTTAGGCAGAGAATAAAGAAAGTGTGTCGGTTCAGCTCACAGAACTGAAGGGGGACAAGGACGGCACTGGAGACAAGGTGGGACATGAAGGAGGATCCAGGAGGATCAGCTGAGCCCTGGTGTTTGTTGTCTCAAGGTCAAGTCCAGGGCCACAGCATCTGAGTGGCTGGCTGGGCCATGAGCCTGCCTCTTGGGCATCCTGACCCCCAGGGGGCTGTGCACACCTCCTAATCCTACCCCTACCATCCGGTGCCTGGCTGGCAGAGGTGCCCCCTTCACAAACTTCCTCCTGCAGCAGTTATTAAGTGCCTCTTGTGTGCTCAGCCATGTGCTCGTCTCAGGCCCTGTGAGTGGGTGTGGCTGGGAGGGGAACTGCAAGGGGCAGTCCAGAGAGAGAGAGCAGCTCACTGCACAGGAGGGTGCAGAGGCAGGAAGTGCCAGGCTTGTCTGGGCAACAGTGGTGGGATCTTTCGGTCACCTCCACGACGATCCCTTAAGGTCCCCCACTTCACCCTGTGGGCCTTCCTCTGGCCTAATGACCTGCCCAGGGGACTGCTTCCAGGGATGTGGGAGGCCCGGCCTCCTCTTGGTGGAAGGAACTCCCAGCAGCCTATGGAGGACAGAGGACAGTGAATACTGGATTTGAATACCAAGATGGCACAGTTATGGACAGAGTCCAGGCTCGAGGTGGTACCAGGCCAGGCACTCCATTCTGACTTGTCACTGATTCTCCTGGTCTCAGAAATGGGTCTCACCATTGCCTTATGAGCACTGATGGCTGTGCTGGTACGGGGTGTGGGGTGTGGGAATACTGGGGAGGCAGAACCACCTGCAGAGCTGTTCAGTGATTTCCCCCACCCCGCATACCCGCGGATGGTGCTGATCCAGCCTCCCATCCCTGCCAGGTGAGAGACTGACAGAAGACGAGGTGGAGAAGTTGATGGCCGGGCAAGAGGACTCGAATGGCTGTATCAACTATGAAGGTAGCTCGTCAGGGCAGGGTTCTTATGGGGTGTACTGGGACCCCAGGCACCTGTACTTTGCTACCCAGCCCTGAGCCCCTGCCACCCTCTTTCCCCTTCTTTCCAGCATTCGTGAAGCACCTCCTGGCCAGCTAAGCCTTTCACCTCAGGTGAGACCCCTACTTTCCAGACTCGCTGCCACCTTGGCCGTGTCTGCTGACCTTGGCCCTGTCCCCTGCTGCAGTGACTCTGTCACCCAAATCCTCTGTTGCCACCTCCCCATCTCCACCAACTCCAGTTCCCAGTTGGCGTCCTGCTGCCCCACCCACCCCCTCCACGCTAACCTGTGCCTGCCTTCTCTCTCAGGGAGCCTGGGGGAAGCCAAGCTGGGGACAGCTCATCTCCCATTCATGATGGCGGTGGCCTGGAGCTGCAGGAGGGAGCGGAGCGCGTTGAGATCCCTGCACTAGGTCTCTCTGCGCCACCCTGCTGCCCTCTGTGTGTGTGGTCATCTCCCGTCCCATCAGGCTGGGCTTGCCTTTGATGGTACTTCTGTCCCCACCACACAGCCTAATAAATAAATGGCTGGCCTGCCTGCCTGCCTGCCCGCCTGCCGTCCTGCCTTCCTCTTTCTTCCCTTTCCCCCTCCCTGCCTTCCCTCTCTCTCCTTCTCTCCTTCTTTCCTCTGTGTGGGCCTTTGTATGACCTCTGTAAAGTCTACGGGCCACATACGGTGAGTCCAAACAAGATAGGGGAGTCATTTAGAAAGGCTGCCTCCTTGTTCACCCCATCAAAATTGTGCCATCTGATGTGCCACCCCTCTGAGCCCGGCCACCTGGACTGGGGTAGGAGCAGGGCTGAGCTTAAAGAGGACTGGGTGCCTCTCCCTAGCTCTCGCCCTCCCCTCTACCTTCTGAAGAAGGCAGCTGTGCTGTGGGCCCTACCACAGGGATGCCACTGGGAGCCTGGGAGCACTGTCTGAAGTGTCTCATCACCGTGAGCAATCAGGAAGCCACAGGACATTGGGTCAGAACCACCCATGTCACCAGTGGGGAAACTGAGGCCCAGAGCACAGAAGGGCCTTGCTTGAATCACAGTGAGACTTGGTGGCAGAGCAGGAGCGAAATTTGTTCCCAGACTGTTGGAGCTAAAGGGATCTTAGATCTCTGTGTGACGAGGTTGGGGAAACTGAGACATTCTACATCTGGTGTGACTCTAGGCCAGAGATAGAGCCCTTCCTGGGGTGGCGTCCGGGGCCCACCAGTGGCTCCTCTGCCGGGGCTTCTCAGAGAAGCAGGTGCGGCCATGGCAGTGGTGGGAACAGAGGCACATGCTCTGCTGCATCGTTGCCCATGCCTGGCTCTGGGCCCAGGCCCTCCCTGCTTTGGAGTCCGTGGGGAGAGTGAAGGGAGGCCTCCCGGAGGATGGGATCCACACAGGGTTGATGGGGAGGAAGAGCAATGGCCCGCAGAGGACTGGGGACTCTAGAAATAGAGCATGTGGAGGAGGTCAGGGACTCAGAGAGGGCGTGGCCACGCAGGTAGGAGACAGCCTGTAGGCCAGGAAGACCCGGGAGCCCTGTGAGCCCATCAGGGCGCATGTGGGTGCGAGTGCATGTGCAGTGAGGTGTGTGAGGGTGGGATGGAAGGAGTTCACTGTCACGTGGGATGTCTGCGTCCAGCATGTCAGGGTGAAGCTGTGGGAGCATGTGTGTGGATGTGTGTCAGCATGTGTGCGAGAGGACATGCGAGGGGGTGTGAGCCTGTCTGCAGGAGTCTGATGCATCTTCCTTTCATTATCTCTGCATTTATTGAGCACCTACTGTGTGCCAGGCTTTGTTCTAGGCACTGGGAGCATGCAGTAGCAAAAGCAGGGAAAGCCTCCGCCCTTGACTTGTCACCCAAACCTGACAAATCACCAAACCGTGTGTGTGTGTGTGTGTGTGTGTGTGTGTGTGTGTGTGTGTGTGAGTGAGAGAGAGAGAGAGAGAGAGGGAGAGAGAGAGAGAGAGAATGGGAAGGGGATTGACATGTTCAATAGTGAGGTCAGTAATTACCTGAGAAGATAATAGTCAGGCAAAGATTTAAAGGCGAGGAGCTAATATGCAGAATATATAAAGCATTCCTACAACTCAACAACAAAAAATTAAACAATCCAATTCAAAAATGGGCAGAGGATTTGAATAAACATTTTTCCAAAGAAGGTAGACAGATGGTCAATAAGCACATGAAAAGCTGCTCCACATCATCAGTCATTAGGGAAATGTAAACAGAAATCATGATGCGATACTATTTCCACCACTTGGATGGCTATTATGCCAAAACCAGAAAACAGCAAGTGTCGGTGAGAATGTAGAGAAACTGGAAGCTTTGCACACTGCTGCAAAATGGTGCGGCTGCTATGGAAAACAGGATGGAGGGGCCTCAAAAAATTAAAAACCTCATTACCTTGTGACATAGTAATTGCATTTCTGCATATAGACCCCAAAGAATTGAAAGCAGGGACTAGAAGGGAGATTTGTACACCATGTTTACCACTGCGTTATTGACAACAGCCTAAGGGCAAAACAACCCAAGTGTCCATCAGTGGATGGATAAGTAAAATGTGGCTCATCCATAGCGTGGGATATTACTCAGCTTTGAAGAGGAAGGAAATTCAAATGCATCTTATAGCATGAATGAGCTTTGAGGACAATACAAGTAAAATAAACCAACACAGAAAGACACTACTGTATGATTCCACTTTTTTGAGGAACCACTCGTGGACTGGGCTTCCTCAGAAGCAGAGCCTGGATGTGAGTAGTCTCCTGGGGGCATGGGTGAGCAGCTGGCAAGGGAGGGGTGTCCCTGGGCACTTGAGGTAAAGAAAGCTCTGTGGGCACTGGGGGCCCGCCCTGCTGGGACCTCCAGGAGGTAGGGTCGTCCCACCGAGGGCTGAAGAAACCTGACTACTCACACCGTTATCTCCGCTTGGGACAAGGCCCCACAGGCAGGCTGGGACGTTTGTAGGGGCACTTCATCATCTGCACCATGGAGCCAAGCAGGCATCTGAGGGAAGACTTTTTGGCAGAGGGCACAGCGGCCCTGAGGTGGGAGCAGAGAGTTCGACGGGGAGGTGGCAGGACATGAGTTAGAGAGACAGAGGGCTGGTGGGCTGTGGGAAGGACTTTGGTGTGTGCTCTGGGAGCCGTTTTATCAGCATCACTCTGGCTGCCATGTGGGGAGCAGACTGGGAGGCAAAGCTGAAGCAGGGAGACCGGTTAGGAGATCCAGAAGAGAAGCAATGCAAGCTGGGGCCCGGGCGAGATGGTGAGAGGTGATCAGATTTCCAGGTCAGTTTTGAAAATACTCTCAGCAAAATTTTGGGCAGATTTTGAGACTTTCTGTTTTCTTTCCTGATCTGAACAGTTCACTCCAGCCCCAGGGCTGATTGGAGGTGGGGAGGGGTCGTGGCTGGTGGGGCAGGCAGGGGCTGGAGGCATGCGTGCCTTGCTGCAGTGGCCTTGGCTGGGAGGGGGTCTCCGTGTGCATGGGAGACCTTGCTGGACTCTGGCTAGCCTCCCTGGTCAACTGGTGGCTGAGTAGCTCTGCAGAGAAGAGCAGGACCTCCCTTTGGCTCCAGGCAGGGCAGGGAGCCACTAGATATGGTTGATAACCCATCTGCGCAGTCCCTAGCTCCTGCCTGCCCTGGGCACTTCACTCCTGCACGCCGGGTCCTGGAACTGCGAGGCTCCCCCTTCAAAAGTCTCGAGGGTCCATATGGGAATGGGTGGTTCCAGAATTTTCTTCTTGGGTTGTTCACCCTAGACTGGAGACCTGTAGGTGGAAATCATACCTGTTCTCATTCATCTCCAGGCAAGAAATGCCTTTTCCTCCAAGTTTACAAATGTCCTAGGGGATGCATGGTGTCCTGCTCTCTTAAGAATGCCTGCCCCTCTTCCAGTTTCCAGTATGCCCCTGCCGTGTCCCATGCCTCCCAGATATACTCCCTTCTTGTAGGCTCCCCTAGCTTCTGGGAGCTACCGCCCACTTAGCTTGGCAATAGGAGACATCCCATACATCATCCCAATACTTTCTGCAGCACCCCCTCCTCGAGCCCTCTTGTGGAGATCAAGAAGGGGTGGGATAGGGGTGGCTAGTGGGGACAGAACCTGGCTATAGTACATGATGAGCTCGGGCAGGGGTGGTTTGGTCCCACTTGTTAGGGTACATCTTTGTGGCAGCCATGGCCGTGTTGCTATTCTGGTGTCATTTACCTGTTATATGTGACTGTGCTGACCATGTGTGAGCTGTTTGGAGGCTCAGGTTGCTGGGTGAGGATGTGAGTGTCAGAGCTGATGCGTGGAGGACCTAGAGAGTGACTCTCAGCCACAGGGGGGTGTGAGTGCTCCTCATTCAGCGTCCTCCCACCTGCCTTAGCTGGGTTAGAATGTGTTTGTGTGTATCCTCGTGTATTGGTGTGCCTGTGTTCCCAGGTGTGCCTGTGTGCTTGTGTATTTGTTTGTGAGTGTCTGCGTGTGTTATGTGTGTGCCTGTCTATGCACATGCACGTGTGTGTTTATTTCTCTGTGCGTGTGTGTGTGTGTGAGGGTCTGTGTCTGCATGTACGTCTGAATGTGTACGTGCTGAGGGGCTCTGCTGAGTCAGCACTGGTGCTGGGCAGACAGCACTGCCAGCCAGGCTGCGGCCTCCCCACAGTTGCATAAACACTGGTCCCAGCTCCCCCTTCGAGCAGGGTGGTCCAGCCCATAGCCCTGTGGCCGGTGGAAAGGGATGGGAGGGGGCAAGGGCCTTGTCCTGTGGGCCTGCTTCTCTCCATGCTTCAAGCACCAGGTCACATACTCTAGAAGGTTGGGGTCTTTTCGGGGGTCTCTCCAGGCTTCACTTCCTTATCTGGCCTGAGGCCTGGTCCCGAGGTCTCTCTAAGGTGGCAGGAATAGTCACCTCTCCAGTCTTGGTCCAAATCAGGGGGTCAGTGGGGCAGTCAGGGGGCTGGGGGCCAGTGACAGAGTTCAGACTCAGGACTCTGGAATAAGTGGTCTTTCTGCTCTGATATCACCATGTGCTGCCTGTGGATCCTGGTGGCCGTCACGCCCTCCAGACACCATCCATAGGGATCCCAGAGTCACCACTAAGACACGGAGCAAATGGCACCCAGTGGGGCTCCAGAAAGCCAGAAATTCAGGCCAAGGTAGAATGAAGTCAGGCAGGGTCTTGAAGAAATCAAGTGTTGGAGGAAACCCTTACCAGATAAGGTTTCTGTGCCCCAGAAAGTGTGAGAGACTGAACCAAAGGGCTCAAAGCACTCTTTGGCAGAGCAGCTGACAGAAAGCTGAAGAGCTTGGGAGAAACCAGGGAGTGTAGTGAAAGGGCCTAAGCAACAAAGTGTATGAAATTGGGCGTGGAGGTGGAGATCAAATGGGAGGGGAAGAGGAAGGGGCAAAGGAAATCTGGCAGCTGTGCGCCAGGCAACCCTCATGTTGCGTAAGTAGGTGCTGGGGTGCCAGGCTGGAGTGCTCTGCTGTTGGTCTGGAAGCCTTGGGTGGTAGGGAGGATGGAGGGGAGGGGGCAGGACAAGTGTGCCTGGGCACAGGGCTAGGCCC